AGTTAATGAACTTCATAATTCCACTGTAGTGCGTTGCTCGAAATTGTCCCTCCGTCATTTTGTGGAGCTGGCACAGCGAATAGCTACAAGGATCAGAGCGGAACTCATCCTCTCTTTAATCACAGCTTAATGGTAATTTGTTTAAGCTAATTTTTGTTGCAGTGCGCGAAAATGGTTGCAGGCGGGCATTTCTCAGTGGCGCTGCGTGGATTTTCTTCCTCCTATTATTGCTCACTTCACATATCAGGTGGTAATCAATGTGCTTATCATTTAAATCCATTCCATTCATTTCCTTATTATTTTCCAATTAATCTGTAATTTCTTTGAGCATTTTTCACTGCCCACATTAATTTTTCATTGTGATCTGCGGCCAATCAAGAAATTCCAGCCGCGCATCTGAACTTTGAATGTACATTTTATTGTCGTAAAATGCTTGAGATGTATCATGTAAATTAGTGGTTAATTCAAAAACTGAGTTGAGAGAGGGTAAGGACGAGGAAAACAATGCCCAGTTTCTGCTTCACTTTATACCTGTTTCATAAAGTAACTCAAAAATTAGCTTCCAAGTTCTCCTGTCCTGATATATGATAAACTCAGGTCTGGATTCGGATTAAGTTGCAGCGCAAAAACCAAAAAGTTTTGAGTATGCAATTTTAAGAACTTTTTCTGAAATAATTAGTAAAATAGCATAAATTCGCATCTCAATACCCTTGGAATTTTTCTGCCTACAAGCATGCATAAGTGCGAGTTGGGGAATAAGGTTCCCGATAACTACTGGATCCGAACGCTTTACGTAATTAAATTGTTCAAAACTCATTGTGAAGAATTCTGACACATTCACACTGCATAAAAAAGTAAGCAAAAAAATCCAGTAAAATCAGATTTCACAAAAACGTAAGCAAAAAAACGCGTTGAGGCACTGTATTCCAGTTATTTCGTTGCATCTGTATACCTTAGCTCTCACATATAATTAGTCTTCTCACGATTCTACACAGTCGATCACCTTTTATAAGTACAGTTAGTCGTGCTAGGGTTCCCGAAAACTAACTATACGCAAAGATGGGTACAAACACATACAGAAAGCAGCCACACACGGCTTTCTGTGATATTGCTGAAAATATTTGTGAATTGTTTTTTCATTTTGAACTGCACACACAATCAAAATATGTTTGAATTGTCGGTGCTGATGAAATCTGGAGTTTTGAGAGGCTGAAGCTTACCCCTGTAAAATAAGAAAGTTTTGCGAACAGTAAAATGGGCCGTTCTCACGCAGATTAGTTTTCGTATAAAATTTGAATGCCTTTTCGACGCGTATTCTACGAACTTTTTTAGAGATTGAATTGTCGCGGGATTTTTCCGTAAACATTTCCCGCAAAATGTATGACTACTTTTCAAGACATTTTTTATTAACTTTTGTATTGTACCATTTGAGTTATCCTGTTTCAAAAATCTGTTGTTGGAAAAATGAATTTTCCTTCTCTGTTACCAGTGTTTTCTGGGGAGCTACACTGAAAGTCGTGATATTATTCTTTGCTTCAGTTTACAGATATCGAATTTGCTTGCAATTTTTTGAAATGAGTGGGAGTTGATAGTTGATAGTGCAAACCAACTTGCATGATTTGGTTAAAATATACAAAACAAACCCCACAAACTCCTCATAAAATCATATCGATCTCACTTTACTGAGCACTTTTACTCTTGAACTGATGTATTGTTATATAGAGTCGCATAAAAAGCAGTGCAGCGTGAGACTTGCGATTGCTCTGAAAATGTGTTATTGTTGTGTAAACTGAGACTTGAAGAGGATCGGCTTGCCGTACAAATTTAGGTATCCAAGGATTTGAAAAAACTTTAGTAGTATCTCTGCAAAAACTGTAGTTCAATGATGATATTCAGTGGTAAAATTTGCCTGAATCTTTGTGTGGAGCATTAGCTATCTCATACATCCCTTCTCGCCCACATAATTCCATATGGGCGTTCCAGCGGACTGTATACAGGTCCCTCGCCATACTGAAGGCCTTTCCTTCCTTGTGTTCTTTAAATACCGCATGAGTGGCACTCAGTAATCTGCTTCATCCTTAAATCCGACTTGACCATCATCTCCGAGTATTTTCAATGCGGGTGAAGGACAATTTGTATAAGTATTCGTTTACGAAGGGTTGTGACGAAATATGTCTTGTAAGATTGTTGGAAAATTACATAAGTTCGCAGTCTGTGTTTCATCCCTTAGCTGTAAATACGGACAGAGCATCTGATGCGAGAAGGAGTGGGAGTCGTCAGTACAGCCTGTTACTCGCCATGTAAGAAGAGTGGTTAAAAGCGTGATAAGAGAAGAAAATAGAAGTATAGGAGGAGAAAAGAGACAGAGAGAATAGAATAGAATTATGACGAAGAGAATTTAGGAGTTTGGAAGAAACCGAAAGGAAATAATAGTATGAATAAATTGAGTCCCATTAATCGTTTAAAAAAAGAAGATTGCTTAAATATATTGCATAAACTTACGTGTAGTTTAATGTTTTTGGATTTGCGATAGCCGTTTCTGTTTAGATGTGGGAGAAAATTAGCTAAAGTTCATGTGCAATTAAAGTAAGGAATCACAAAATGCAAAAAGTGCTGGTTTTCAATTTAGAAAAATCACATTTATACGACAAAATGAGCAAATTCATACAAGTGTTACATGCTGTAAAAAAATCCGACCGGAACAGTCAAATTTCGAAGGTAATGATTATTTTGAGTTGGAGCAACGGAGATTGTATTAGGGGCATCTATACACCAACAGCATTGTTAACAGTGACGGAGTAAATTTCACAGTCGCCATCAATTTCAACAGTTTCAATATCGTCCGGAGAGCCACGATGCGCAAATGTGGCGAAGCGATTGCCGTTGAAAAATATTTGGAAGCTGAATCGTTCATTGATGATCGTCACATCAGCACTGCAATTTGCACATTTTTGATTTGGTTTTTTAACTTTTAAATTACCTATGAATAGGCATTTCGCGCACCAGATTTTAGAAGACCAAATTTTTTGCGCGCTCATCGATCATATGCTTTCTAGAACCTCAGATCCAGAGTTCTGACTGGAAACTAGAAGCGGACTAGAAGCAAAAGCTCCTCTTCCTTGAATAAAAAGGGGATCAGAAATAGAAACTCCTTTTCCTTGAAAAGGGATGCGTCGGTGATTGGAATTTTGCATTAGCATTAGAAATTATTGTAAAATATTCAGCAATTTTAAGCTAACATTTCTCCTTTGCTTATCGGCAGACCACCTTCTCGTTCTTCACGGCCCCACACATTATTCTGCATTGCGTTCCGCACAACTGCGCCTTCATTGAATCGTACGGATACTTGCAGAGCATACTGGCGATTGGCTCGATACAAATTTATATTAAATCGTTTTCCTGAAATATACCAGGTAACACTGATATTCGAGTTTGAAGACGTTAAACTTGTTTTACTTATTAAAATTATATGGACAATGACATGGAGGCTAGAATGCATCTATACAGAGAATACAGCTATCCCAAATTCTTCGATCCAAGCTGCAATTCTCTAGCCGATATTTGTTCCTTTTCTTACCTAATCAAATTTTCAATG